CGAGAAATCACACTTGAGTGACACCAGATTACGCCCACATTGTAATGCTGTGCAACCTGATGCGTGTGAGCATTAGTTGTGAGCGAAACCAAATAGGCACAAACCACACAAATGTTCCCAGCAACGGTGTGTCTTGCAACCGTAAATTAGTGAGTGGGTGGATGTGCAGTAAATGCTAAAGCCGTGGGTCAAACTATGAGCACAGAGACAGCGCAGCATTGTAGTTCACCTCACCAATGCTTGCATTCACTTTGGAAACATCATTGTGAGGCGTGGTTTTAAACACTCTTTTCGTTATCTAAGACGTTCAACTACAAAGTCGGCAGCAGATTTGCTGTATACTTTTGTACGCTTCCACTATCTTCATGCCATCACTGTGGTTTTCTTATACAACATGCAGTTTAGGCATGATTTTGAGTAACAGGATAGCGAGGCTGCGCAATCAGATGGGTGCAAAAAGTTACCATAAATCAGATTACACATCGAATTAGCTCAAATCATACATCCAGAGTGTATTTTGACAATAATCAATGCCCCTTTTTATCTTTTGAGGGTACTCACACATCAGTTATGAAACTGGAAGCGTATTCGCAGAGTCGTTGATCTGCAGCGCTTCTCATGTGATTCGGCCTCAAACTTTTAAGTTAATACTGTCACGTACCCGAAGGTGATTTAAGTTGAGGAATTCGCAGTGAATCGTGCTGGTTCAAGTCCATTTACGCTACCGTTGCTCGTTCCGTCGCCCTGACCACCTTTTCGCGGCGTTTTTGTTCAAAATGAGAAATCGTCTTCTCATTCCCACCTAAGCGAGTACCTGTTTCTCCGCCTTGTTAATTATTTCATCCACCCGAAAAATTGGACGATTCCACACAAAGTGCTTTGGTCAAAAACCTCATATATTCTGACGACGTTAACCAAATCGCAATGTCTCCAAGTGTGGCAACGGATCAGGGCGCAGACATATTGGATCACCTGGCCTCAGCCAATCCTCTGTCTCTCTGTGTTCCAATGGCATGCGAGGAAGATAAGCGGCCAACCAGAAAAGGACACGAATAAGGTGCTGTATAAAATGGGCGGCGTAGCCAGCGTGGCGGACTTGGATGGAAGGCGCCTGACGTGTGGCTCTGGCTATGATTGGTCAATAAAGCCTGTTCTGTTGTACCAATCTTTTACCTATTAGGTCTCGGGTTTTCTACACAAGAGCAGACCGTGATTGATTTGTTCAGTAAAGAGTTGCGCCTCTGCAGTCTGCAGTCTTCTTTGTGCCTATCCGGATATCTGCAAGGTGCAAATGGGCCATTTACACATGTCTGCCGATTCGACAACACTTGCTGGAGCCTTCGACAACTTCCTAGAAGCCCGTATGTTGACCACTTGCAGCGTTCGCAGCATCGACACGAAGCCACGAGATGTGGCCTGTGATTGGTGGTCTTCAGCAGGTTGATGGTATTTTGAGGTCATATGGTGGTAGTACTTTTGATTCAGTGAAGACTAAAATATGCTGGAGGAGTGTGTCGGGTAAAAGCCCTCGACCAGTCACGATAACACTGGTTACATTACACACCCAGGAGACAATCGGTGACAAGTTGGTCATGTTGAGTTCAGTGCCTAGTAACTACGAAGAAATCAGGTTGTGTTGAATGATGCCATGCAGAATAACAGCAATCATGTAGTCTGTATACAAGAACAGGCTGTTTTGTTGTGTTGTGCACTCATTACAATCATGGCCACCAACACTAGGCCACAATCATTAACTTCTCCCATCAGGGTCTATCTAAGCACTTTGCAAAATATTTTTACCTGTGTCAGTCCCTATCAGGATCTAGGGCCGGGCAGAGAGGCAATTCATCCGCTAAAGCCACGGCTGTTATCATGATGTGCACTGTATTCTGCGATTCATTGAAACCTGCTTCATAGTGGCTTGTGGGAACTTTATAACTCCTTCGATTTTTAATTATTCTTATCGTAAGTTAGATGATGTAAGTGCTTCCTGAGCTAGAAGATTTCGTGTTCTCTCGCAATAAATTGCCAATTTCTTGTTTTTTTATTTCTAGATGACTTGAGTTGGCAATCTCAAATTCTAGACGCAGTAGTTACAAAACTGAAATAGTTGAAAAAAATAACCCCTAATTTCATAATCTATCACCACGTGGTAGAAAAAGTTATAGCTAACACCAGTGTGCAGGAACACGTATGCGGCAGATACAGGCGTTTGCTGCCATCTGGACTGTGAGTTGTGGTCCGACAAATCCAGTGTAGGAAATTAAATGGTTAGAGAGAAATAGCATGACAAATTTTGCAACGCATCATGTGTGGGAGGAAACTGTCCATCATTTGCTTAGGCGGTTTCTGAATTACCTTTGGATGAACTCGTGTCGTGGCACTCAGATCACACCTGAGTGAAGCGGTCTATGTTTTCATGCACCACTGGAAAAGAGTAGAGGTCGGTGGTAGCGCGTAGTTTAACCGCTTCACTGTAATAGAAATAGCGTGGTTGTACAGGGTCTGAGTGTGTGTTTATGGCTTGCAAAAGCGTCGCATTCGTTCGCAAAGCTAGGTGTGTAAGGTTGTCTGATTAAGACCGTGGTCACTCACATTTGTCCACCATGTTTCGTTGATGAGCGACACAAATTGACTCAGTAAAAAACACACGTGAATGCGATTTGTAAAAAAAATTAAGTTAATTTCGGTTGTTAATTTCGATTTTAAGTTAACTATGCCAGGTACAGTCACAATTGTGCATTCTTTATACCAACGACACTTCATAATTTTCGTTTTCACAGCATTTAAATATTAATGATTTTGATGCATGATAACAGCATGAAAATGAGGCCGATAACGGCATGATTTGATGTCTGTTGCATAAAAAGTAGGAGGTCTATTTCAAGACGCATCCGATAAATGATGTAATGACTTTCACCGCGAGGATTCAATGGATTGCCCATGGACGTTAGGTCTTTAATTAAAGTTGCTAGATTTAACTTGGTGCACATGGCATTACTTTAAGTGTTAAGAAATTTCTGACCGTGATTCCTAACGTCTAGATATCATCCAGATTTGTACCAGAAACTCTGACGCATAGCAAATGTACACAACGCTCGACATCGTTTCCACTTTCTGATGCAAAATAGTAGGTCAAACACCATAACAGCATCAATAATGCAAGAGCATAAGTATAGAGGAATTCCAAATTCTGGATTGTTAATTCTGACATATTAGAATTAACAAAATACTTCAAATATATGACAGGATGTTAGAGAGGCCACACCTTTGCACTTCTGAAATATAACCAGCAGTGATAAAATTGTTAGCTCAGAATAATCGGTTTATGTTTAAAAGATACATAGATGGTACAATTTGACGTTTTCAGAGGTGGGAAGTAGCTATGAAAACGGCAAATCTACAATTTGCGAGTATTACCAAACTATTATCTATCGGCAAAATAAAGAACGTACATCGATGTTGATGTTTTGAATTGCGTAGTGGCGTCCCATACTTGGTGTTAAGTAATTAAGGATTTAAATTTCCGAGGTCTCCTTATAAGACATTAATTGATAGTAAGGTCAATTTTACGTAACCACACACACATAGCGGGAGATCTAGCTAAGAGCACACTTTTTTAAGATGCGGATGAAGTCACAGCGAACCTGTTCTGCTGTTACGACATCAATGTTAGTCAACCACGTACATATGTTGTTTGACATAGATTCAACATGCAAACTTAGGCATGATATATATAACTTATTTGTTTGCATCTTGCATTCATCTTGCAAAACGTAGTGATGCTGTCACTAGAAAATTCAGTGTTCCGTGCTGTATTCCCCTACAACATTGTTATTTATCATGCACAAAAATTGCAATTGTTCCTTATGATTTGTTTTAAAAGGTTAAATAAGCAAGCGTGAAACCTATTCAGCAACAATTTAATATGCACGATTATAATACCGGTTAAGTGCTGCTACTCGTATGTGTGCAAGGCATCCTAATCACCAGTCGCAATTACTATTATGCATCCTTTATGTTATCAACATATTACAATTTTCGTTTTTACCGTACAGGCTTGATGTATTAAAAAAATTTGCCAACTGCAGAAAAATGCAGCTAAGTGAGAACCGAAGTAGGATATCACTACATTAACATAAGTTGCTAGTGGAGATTTTTACTTGTGAAGGCCGAGGTAAACAACGAAAATTTTGGAACTATAAATACATTGTGTCATTTTATTGTGACAAATCTAAATTTAACACCATGCAACTTTTAACAAAGGAAAATATTATTGGAAGTGGTGATTGCAACGTGATTTACTTAAAGGGACATTTAAAATCAAACATCGGATCATATTTGACCTTTAGGCATTATAAAATAGCCAAAATTAAAAAAAAATAATATTGACAATTTTTTTTCACCTTTACCTTCACCTTCCAGATCTATATTTGCCTATCTGAGAATTTATAATTAGCGTTATTGGATTGAAATAAAAGTTTAGATCTGTTTATGGTTTTTAAGCTATAAAGTAGCGTATTTAGGAACAAAGATTGTTAGGCCTTAACTGTTGTTTAAATTGTTCGAAATATTACATTGTGCGTCGAGTGGTTACTTTGTTATAAAATGCTTCGTGTCGAGTGTATGTTTTTTACAGTTCAAGGTAATCAAGTCAACTTTAAGTACACATTATGTTTTTAATTAGTCATTTGTGCTATAAAAATGAGGCATAAATTGAGTAACGTCATGTGGCAACACCTACATTAAAATACCAACCAGTGCGTATATATTGTCAACAGTATTAGGCAAATGCAACTAGTCATTGTGAAATCCAAGGCAAATTGCACAGTAAAAATGCTTAAAATAAATATATAAAGGTAATAACAACGTACAGAATTTGGGAAAAAAGAAGTTAAGAGACTTTGTGATATTTTATTTCATGGAAGCTCAAAATACATAATTGCAAACATTTTGCCAAAATATAATACTTTTTTATAATTAAGGCGTAAAATTCTACGATGACTTCGAAATGGATTCTTCGATTGCGAGAAAAGCGTCGGAAGCGAAAGGAAGCCAAGGCGCTCAAGAAGCAGGCCAAAAAGGAGAAGGAAACAATGCAGGACAATAAATTTGATGCATCAAAATCAATTGCTTTAGAAGAATTGAGTAGCACAACAGAATCAAATGCAGATTATGTGGTTGAGAATGAGTTGCCACAATCTGCAGTGGTGGCTGAGCCTGTAGCAGACCTGAATTTGGTGAAGCCCTCAAAACAGCAGTTAAATTCTGGTAGAAAATCCAGCTTAGACAGTGACACGTCTAGCTCGGCTGAAGATTCTTCAAGCACAGACGATGACACTAGCTCTGATGATGATTCCAGTTCCGACGACGCTTCCAGTTCTGACGACGATTCCAGTTCCGACGATGACTCCAGTTCTGATGAAGACACCAGCTCCGATGATGACTCGAGCTCCAATGATGACTCGAGCTCCGACGACGATAGCAGCTCTGATGACGACTCAAGCTTTGACAGTTCGAGCTCGGATTCACACCCTGAGAGTGAACGAAAAAAGAAACAAAGGCGCAGAGGAAGGAAGTGAACACAGTCGTGATCAGATCTTACTCGGTATTTAGTCTTTCGGTTTTGCTAGCTTTCACAAAGTATTTTTTTTATTTTACTTTACTGTTGTCTTTTTGACATCAATAAAATCTGTTTGTAAAATGCCAATTGCTTGCAAAGCATCTGTTAAACAGTTTTGTATATCAGGAAGGTGTTGCTAGAATATGACAATAGGTCTCTCTGTGAAGGTTAAGCTGTTCGGTTTACTGAGATGTGGCAGGGTGTCGCGACGCCATAAGTTCGTTTGATAGAGTTAGTAAAGTGATTGACACAATGCCAAAACAGGTTGCATGTGGGTAAAAAACGACCGCTATAATGCAGTTTGTGTAGGTGTGAACACATTACAATAACGCGGTCATAATTACTACCTAAATCCTCAGTTTGGATCGTTAGTCTGTGAACATTTTAAATAATTTGATAAAAATTGAACGCTTGGGACTTCTACATGCCATTCTCATTTTTTGAAGTAATCAAAACACGTGTGATATTCTTCAAAATATCCCTTTACCTTGTACTTCCCAATGCATAGTTCTGTGTAATCTTGCTCAGTGTATAGTTAAATGGTGTAACGATTATTAGAGTAAGTACGGCAAACGACAACTTTATGCCAACTGTAGCTGTTTTAAAGCTTAAACCCTTCCTACAGGCCTGTTATGCTATTTCTTCCACAATGAGGCCATGAAAATAACCTCCGATGAATCCATTCAGAAAGATAACTCAAGTATGTTCCACTCATTCAGCAAATTTTGCAAAATTATATGTACCATTAAACATTTAAATTAAGTACTACTGCCAGCGCATGATTTCCTTTAACTACGCATTCTAAAACCTACAATATTATAATTTCGTAAAGCAACTTAGTAAAAAGGTAAAGGGCATGATGGTGGTGTCACTGAACAGCTTGCAGTTTAGCTGTAGCGCTGAAATGGTGGATGCATTTTAAGGAGCCTAAATAGCAGAACAGATGATTTGAACAAAAAACAACTGAATCACAACAGCCAGTCTTGATTTCAGTTTCTGTAGTTAGGTGAGGGTATGGTTGTTACGTGTGTGTTTAAGGCGTGCCAACTTGAGGTGCACTCAAAATTGTCAAGAATGTTTCCTTGACGATCACCATAAATTCAAAAAATGTAACTTTCCCTTAAATTATGCAGCAAAGACATGGTCTTAACCTCTTCATTAACGGCTAGATCATTGGTTTGACACATCTGAGTCAAATCAGTTCCATGTAAAACCTAAGACGACGGTCCCATTGAAATAAAACAACGCAGTT